AGTTTGAAATCAAATAGTGTGATTCCTCAAGCTTTGTTCTTTTTGCTTAGAATTCTCTTGGTAAATTTATAAAACTGAACGTTCACATGAGAAGTAAGCAAAGATAAAATCAACACCCCATTGTCAAAATTAAAAGAACTAGAGGACCAAGATCAAACAAATTCAAGAGCTGGCAGAGGACAAGAAATAACTAAGATCAGAGCAGAATTGAAGGAGATAGAGACAGAAAAAACCCTTCAAAAAATCAATAAATCCAGGAGATGGTTTTTTGAAAAGATCAGCAAAACAGATAGACCACTAGTCAGACTAATAAAAAAGAAAAGAGAGAAGAATCTAATAGATGCAATAAAAAACTATAAAGGGGATATCACCATTGATTCCACAGAAATACATACTACCATCGGAGATTACTGCACACACCTCTGTACACATAAATCAGTAAATCTAGAAGAAATGAATAAATTCCTGGACACATACACCCTCCAAAGACTAAACCAGGAAGAACTTGAATTCCTGAATAGACCAATAACAACGTCTGAAATTGAGGCACCAATTAATGGCCTACAACCAAAAAGAAGTCCAGGTCCAGACAGGTTTACAGTCGAATTCTACCAGATGTACAAAGAGGAGCTGGTACCATTCCTTCTGAAACTATTCCAAATGATACAAAAAGAGGAAATCCTCCCTAACACATTTTATGAGACCAACATCATCCTGATACCAAAACCTGGCAGAGACAGAACTACAAAAGATAATTTCAAGCTAATATCCATGATGAACATATATGTAAGTAGCTTCGATAAAATACTGGCAAACAGAATGCAGCAGCACATCAAAAACTTATCCATCAATATCAAGTAGACTTTATTCTGGGAATGTAAAGCTGGTTCAACATACACAAATGTATAAATGTAATCCATCACATAAACAGAACTAAAGACAAAAATCACATGATTATCTCAATAAATGAAGAGAAGGCCTTCAACAAAATTCAACAGCACTTTATGCTAAAAACTCTCAATAAACTAGGTATTGATTGAACATATCTCAAAATAATAAAAGCTATTTATGATAAACCCAAAGCCCATATCATAATGAATGGGCAAAAACCGGAAGCATTCCATTTGAAAACTGGCACTAGACAAGGATGCCCTCTCTCACCATTCCTATACCACATAGTATTGGAAGCTCTAGCCAGAGCAATCAGGTAAAAAAAAAAAAAAAGAAAGAAAGAAAGGGTACTCAATTAGAAAAAGTGGAAGTCAAATTGTCTCCATTTGCAGATGACATGATTGTATATTTAGAAGACCCTATAGCCCCAAACCTCCTTAAGATGATAATCAACTTTAGTAAAGTCTCAGGATACAAAATGAATGTGCAAAAATCACAGGCATCCCTATATACCAATAACAGACATAGAGCCAAATCATGAGCGAATTCCCATTCACAATTGCTACAAAGAGAATAAAATACCTAGTTATACAACTTACAAAGGACATGAAGGACCTCTTCAAGGAGAACTACAAACCACTGCTCAAGGAAATAAAAGAGAACACAAACAGATGGAAAAACATTCCATGCTCATGGTTAGGAAGTATCAGTATCATAAAAATGGCCATACTGCCTAAAGTAATTTATAGATTCAGTGCTATCCCCATCAAGCTACCATTGACCTTCTTCACAGAACTTGTGAAAAACCACCTTAAACTTCATTTGGAACAAAAAAGAAGTGCAAATCTTTTTTTAAAAAAATTCAGGTTGTGTGCTGTGACTCATACCTGTAATCCCAGGACTTTGGAAGCCAAGGCAGATGGATCACAAGGTCAAGACTATCCTGGCCAACATGGTGGAGCTCTGTCTCTACCAAATTAGCTGGGCTTGAAGACATGTGCCTGTAATTCCAGCTACTTGGGAGGCTGAGGTAGGAGAATTGCTTGAATCTGGTAGGTGGAGGTTGCAGTGAGCTGAGATCACACCACTACACTTCAGCCTGGCAACAGAGTGAGACACCATCTCAAAATAAATAAATAAAATAAAATAAAATAAAATTTTCAAACTATCATTTGACGTCATAACAATAGCCTAGACCAAGCAGAAGAAAAAAAATTTAGAGTTTGAATACTGTTCCTTTAAATCAACCCAATCAGACAAAAACAAAGAAAAAAAAAGTTGTATAAATAATCCTTCAAGAAATACGGGATTAGGTGAAGTGACCAAATTATGACTTATTGGCATTCCAAAGAAAGAAAGCAAGGTAAGCAACTTGAAAGACATATTTGAGGATCTAATTTAGAGAAATTTTCCCAATCATTCTGGCTACATCAACATGTAGGTGGAAAAAACCTAGATACCTCCTATAAGATACTATACAAGACAACCAACCTCAAGACATATATTTATCAGACTATCCAATATCAACATGAAAGAAAACATTTTAAAGGAAACTAAAGAAAAGGGTCATAGTACTTACAAAGAGAAACACATCAGATGAACAGAGGGCTTCTAAGCAGAACTGTGATAATGCAGAAGAGATTGGGAGTTCATTTTTAGCATTCTTAAGGAAAAAATATGCCAGCCAAGAATTTCATATTCTGAAAAACTAAGCTCAGTAAGTGAAGGAGAAAAATGTCTTTCCCAGACCAGCAATTGCTAAGGGAATTCATCACCAAAGGCTGGTCCTACAAGAGATACTTAGAGGTTTTCTAAATATAGAAATAAAATGATGATACTTGTTACAAAAGCATACATAAGCACATAGCCATGGACACTATAAAGCAATCACACAATTAAGACAACACTACGACAGGAAGAAAACCTCATGTATAAAAATTAACCCTAAACATAAAGGGCCTAACCACTCACTTAAAAGATATCAAGAGGCGAGTTGCTTCAGTGTCCTGGTGCTGCTGCACTGCGGAGGCCATGCAGTCCCTTAGCCAAGATGCCTGAGGAAACCCAGACCCAAGACCAATCGATGGAGGAGGAGGAGGTGGAGACGTTCACCTTTCAGGCAGAAATTGCCCAGTTGATGTCACTGATCATCAATACTTTCTATTCGAACAAAGAGATCTTTCTGAGAGAGCTCATTTCAAATTCCTCAGATGCATGGGACAAAATCTGGTATGAAAGCTTGATGGATCCCGGAAAATTGGACTCTGGGAAAGAGCTGCATATTAACCTTATACCAAATAAATAAGATTGAACCCTCACTATTGTGGATACTGGAATTGGAATGACCAAGGCTGACTTGATCAATAACCTTGGTACTATCACCAAGTCTGGGACCAAAGCATTCACAGAAGCTTTGCAGGCTGGTGCAGATATCTCTATGATTGGCCAGTTTGGTGTTGGTTTTTATTCTGCGTATTTGGTTGCTGAGAAAGTAACAGTGATCACCAAACATAACGATGATGAGCAGTATGTCTGGGAGTCCTCAGCAGGGGGATCATTCACAGTGAGGACAGACACAGGTGAACCTATGGGTCATGGAACAAAGGCTATCGTACACCTGAAGGAAGACCAAACTGAGTACTTGGAGAACGAATAATAAAGGAGATTGTGAAGAAACATTCTCAGTTTATTGGCTATCCCATTACTCTTTTTTGGAGAAAGAACGTGATAAAGAAGTCAGCGATGATGAGGCTGAAGAAAAGGAAGATAAAAAAGAAGAAAAAGAAAAAGAAGAGAAAGAGTCTGAAGACAAACCTGAAATTGAAGATGTTGGTTCTGATGAAGAAGGAAAGAAGGATGGTGACAAGAAGAAGAAGAAGAAGATGATTAAGGAAAAGTACATTGATCAAGAAGAATGCAACAAAACAAAGCCCATCTGGACTAGAAATCCTGAAGATATTTCTATTGAGGAGTATGGAGAATTCTACAAGAGCTTGAGCAAATGACTGGGAAGATCATTTGGCAGTGAAGCATTTTTCAGTTGAAGGACAGTTGGAATTTAGAGCCCTTCTATTTGTCCCACTACGTGTTCCTTTTGACTCCTTTGAAAACAGAAAGAAAAAGAACACCATCAAGTCATATGTATGCAGAGTTTTCATCATGGTTAACTGTGAGGAGCTCATCCCTGAATATCTGAATTTCATTACAGGGGTGGTAGACTCAGAGGATCTCCCTCTAAATGTTTTCCATGAGATGTTGCAGCAAAGCAAAAATTTGAAAGTTATCAGGAAGAATTTTGTTAAAAAATGCTTAGAACTCTTCACTGAACTGGCAGAAGGTAAAGTGAACTACAAGAAGTTCTATGAGCAGTTCTCTAAGAACATAAAGCTTGGAATACACGAAGACTCTCAAAATCGGAAGAAGCTTTCAGAGCTGTTGAGTTACTACACATCTGCCTCTGGTGATGAGATGGTTTCTCTCAAGGACTACTGCACCAGAATGAAGGAAAACCAGAAACATATCTATTATATCACAGGTGAGACCAAGGACCAAGTAGCTAACCCAGACTTTGTCAAACATCTCGAAAACATGGCTTAGAAGTGATCTATATGATTGAGCCCATTGATAAGTACTATGTCCAACAGCTGAAGGAATTTGAGGGGAAGACTTTAGTGTCAGTCACCAAAGAGGGCTTGGAACTTCCAGAGGATGAAGAAGAGAAAAAGAAACAGGAAGAGGAAAAAAACAAAGTTTGAGAACCTCTGCAAAATAATGAAAGACATTGGAGAAAAAAGTTGAAAAGATGGTTGTGTCAAACTGATTGGTAACATCTCCATGCTATATTGTCACAAGCACATATGGCTGGACAGCAAACATGGAGAGAATCATGGAAGCTCAAGCCCTAAGAGACAACTCAACAATGGGTTACATGGCAGCACAGAAACACCTGGAGATAAACCCTGACCATTCCATTATTGAGACCTTAAGGCAAAAGGCAAAGGCTGATAAGAACGACAAGTCTGTGAAGGGTCTGGTCATCTTGCTTTATGAAACTGAGCTCCTGTCTTCCGGCTTCAGTCTGGAAGATCCCCAGACACATGCTGACAGGATCTACAGGATGATCAAACTTGGTCTAGTTTGATCAAACATTGATGAAGATGACCCTACTGCTGATGATACCAGTGCAGCTATAACTGAAGAAATGCCACCCCTCAAAGGAGATGATACATCATGCATGGAAGAAGTAGACTAAGCTCTAGCTGAGTGATGGTTTACCTGTTCAATACGCTACAGTTCCTCTAATAATATATTTTCAAGGATGTTTTTCTTTACTTTTGTTAGCATAAAAATGTCAGTATGGCATGACAGCAACTACTTTAAGGGGAAGATAAAGATTTCTGTCAACTTCTAAGTGATGCTGTGATACTTTAGGCAGTAAAGCAGAGCTAGTAATGCTTTTTTAGTTTTACATTGGCTTACATTAACAGATCGAGGTAATGTGTGTTGTAAGATGTATGTAACATGTTAATTTTGTGGTCTAAATGTTTATCTGTCAAGCCAGATTCCTTAGTAGACCAAATCTTGTTAACAAAGCGTTCCTGAGCTATACCTTGATGTTTAGAAGAAAAGTATTTGTTATATCTTGTAGGATCTACTTTCTGAACTTTTCATCCCCTGTAGTTGCCAATTCTGCATGTACTAGTCCTCTAGAAATAGGTTAAACTGAAGAAACTTGATGGAACTCTCCACAGGGCTTGTTTTCCAAAGAAAAGTATTGTTTGGATGAGCAGTTATGAGCCTACCTAAGCATAACATAAGCTGTTCAAAAATAACTCAGAGCCAGTCTTGTGGATGGAAATGTAGTGCTCGAGTCACATTCTACTTAAAATTGGAACAAATACAGATGAGTTAAAAGAAAAAAAAAAGATATCAAGTGGCAAGTTGGATACGAAAACAAGATCCACTCTTCTGCTGTCTTCATGAGACCTGTCTCACATGTAATGACACCTATAGGCTCAAAGTAAAGAAATGAAGAAATACCTATCACACCCATTTGAAACAAAAAAGAGCAGAGTTTGCCATTCTTTTATCAAATATAATACACTTGAAGCCAACAATGGTAAAAAAGAAAAAAGAAGGGCATTACATAATGTTAAAATGTTTGGTACAACAGGAAGATTTAATTGTCCTAAATAGATACACAACCAACATTGGAGCATGTACATTTATAAAACAAGTATCTACAGACATCCTAAAAGACTTTGATAGCCAAGCAATAGTAGTAGAGACTTTCAGCACCCAACTGCCATCATTAGGGAAATTCAAAGACAGAAAAGTAACAAATTCTGGTCTTCCATATGGCACTTGACTAATTGGACCTAATAGATATCTAGAGAATACTGCACTTAATTACCAAAGAATATACATTCTTCTCATCTGCACACAGAACATACTCTAAAATTGACCATATGCTTTCTCATAAAGCAAGTCTCAATAAATTAAACAAAAAAGATTATATCAACTATCTTCTCAGACTACGGTGGAACTAACAACAACAACAAAAAGGCTTTAGCAAGAGGAACTCTCAAAACCACACAAATGCATGAAAACTAAAAAACTTGCTCATGAATGGCTTTTTGGGTGAACAATAAAATTAAGGCAGAAAACAAAAAATTATTTGAGACAAGGAAAATACAGACATAACATACCAAAACCTCTGAGAATGCAGCAAAAGCAGTGTTAAGAGGATAGTTTATAGCACTAATCACTTACATCAAATGGATAGAAAGATCTCAAATTAACAACCTACCCTCACACCTAAAAGAACTAGAAAATTAAGAACTAAGTAAGCCCAAAGCTAGCAGGAGAACAGAAATAACTAAAATCAGAGCAGAATCTAAATTTCATTTAGACCCCAAAAACCATACAAAGGAACAACAAATAGTTGATTCTTTGAAAAGACTTTTTTTTTAAAAAAAAAAGATTGATATACTGCTAGCTAAATTAATGAAGAAGAGAGATGATCCAAATAAGCGCCATCAGAAATAACAAAGATGATATTACAACTAACCCCACTGAAATATGAAGCATCCTCAGAGAGTACTATGAACATCTGTATGCACAAAGACTAGAAAATCTGGAGGAAATGGATTAATTCCTAAAAACACACAACTTTCCAAAACTGAATCAGAAAGACACAGAAATCCTGAACAGACCAATAAGTAATGAAATTGAATCAGTAATAAAAAGCCTGCTAACCAACAGAAACTCCGCACCAGGTGGATTCGCAGCAGAATCAGGAATAAAAAACCTACCAACCAACAAAAGCTCTGCACCAGATGGATTCGCAGCAGGATTCTACTAGACCTATGAAGAAGAGGTGATATAAATCCTGCTCAAACTACTGAAAATTGAAGAGAAGGGACTGCTCTCTTACTAAACTTACAAAGCTAGTATCATTCTGATACCAAATTCTGGCAGACACAACCAAAAATGAAAACATCAGGCAAATATTCCTGATGAATATAGATGCAAAAATCCTCAACAAAATACTAGCAAGCCAAATTCAGCAGCACATAAAAAAGTTAATTCACAATAATTGCATGGGTTTTATTCCTGGGATGCAAGGCGGGTTTAACATACATAAATCAGTAAATTTAATTCACCATGTAAACAAAATCAAAAATAAAAATATGATCATTTCAATGCACATATAAAAAAATTAGTAAACTCTAACATTCTGTCATGATAAAAATCCTCAACAAAGCAGGCATTGAAGGAACATTTCTCAAAGTAATAAGACATATCTATGACAAACCCATAGCCAACATCATAACAAATGGGCCAAACCTGGAAATTTTCTACCCTACAAATTAGACCAAGATAAGGATGTCCACTATTCAATGTAGTACTGGAAGCCCTAGCAGAGCAATCAGGCAGGGGAAGAAAATAAAATAATCAAAATAGGAAAATAGGAAGTCAAATTCTCTCTTCACTGACATTGTGATTCTATACCTAGAAAACCCTAAAGATTCTGCAAAGTACATCTAGATAAGCTAAGTGACTTAGGTGAAGCCTCAGGATACAAAATCCAGTAGCATTTATATGCACCAACCACATTCCGTGGAAACCGAATCAATAATTAAATACCATTTACAATACACACACACACACACACACACACACACACATACACACATGTACACACACAAACACAAACTGAGACTACATCTAAACAAGGAGGTGAAAGGCCTCTACAAAAACTAAAAAAACACTGCTGAATGAAATCAGAGACCATACAAAGAAATAGAATAGCATTATGTGCTCATGGGTTGAAAGAATAAATATCATTAAAATATCCATATTACCCAAAGAAATCTATAGATTCAAGCTATTCCTATCAAATTACCAAATTGCTGTTCACAGAATTAGAAACAACTATTCTAAAATACACAAGAACAAAAAAAGACCCTGAATACCCAAAGCAATCCTAACCAAAAAGAATACAACCAGAGGCATCACATTACCTGATTTCAAACTGTACTGCAAGGCAATGGTAACCAAAACAGCAGAACGATTCTGGTATAAAAATAAATAAATAAATAAATAAAGACACAACAATGAAACAGCCCAGAGAACCCAGAAATAAAGCCACACAACTACCACCAACCAATCTTTCAACAAAAATAAATGAGGAAAAGATATCCTATTCTGTAAATAGGAATGAGAAAACGAGTTAATTATATGTACAACAATGAAACTGGACCTCTGCCTCTCACCAGATACAAACAATAACTCAAGGCTGAGCATAATGGCTCATGTCTGTAACTCTAATGCTTTGAGGGGCTGAGGCTGGAGGATCACTTAAGCCCAAAAACTTAAGACCAGCCTGAACAACATAATGTGACCCTATCTCTATCAAAAGTTAGAAAAAATAGCTGGGCATGGGGTTATGTGCCGGTTGTCATAGTTACTTCAGAAGCTGAGGCAGGAAACATGCTTGAACCAAGCAATTCAAAGTTGTAGTGAGCTATGATTACACCATTGCTCTAAGTTTTCTAAGGAAATTTAGGAAATATTCTTGTAGACACTGGCCTTGGCAAAAAAATTCATCAGTTTCCTCATCTATGATGTGAAATTACTGATAGTACTTCTGCTTTTACCCCGATAAGAGTTGTGCCAGGAAGGCACATGCATCTGTTGAATCTCATTTGCCTCCAGTTCAAAATAACCCTTATGCCAAAGTGGCTTATGTTGGGGTGGCATATTTTGATCCTCAACAAAGAGAACATTAAAAAATTAAAACACCGTACTTGCCACAGACATCCGTTTCAATACACCCCAAATAAATGTGGAGTCCTGCAAAAGAGTGAGTAAATGAAGTTTAAAGAATTTCTCGGCCTCCTTGTTGAGCCAGAATGGCCCTTCTTACATAGGAAATCATGGGCCACTATTGCTGAGAAAGCCTTTGCAAAGGAGGGTTGAATCTGGCTGGTGACTTGTTGGGAGCTTTGAGGACGGGCAGATTTCCAATGAGTCACTCAGAGTCTTCTAAATGTAAAATATTCTATTTTATTTGCTGGTAAAATTAAAATGATTTTGATGTTGAGTAATTTCAGAATCAAGACAATTTTCTTCAGCATTTTTTTGAATGTGCACCTTATGAAGAATTAGGATAATATCCATGGATTACTGACCTTTCTTAGCCCAGTGTTTGTTTTTTCTCCTGTGTAGGAGTGGGCTAAGTGATAAATCAGGGTCAGGCTCTAGGACAGATGATGGCTTTTTTAGATAAATGAGATTCCTCCTTCAGCACTAGCAGATCTCATTCCAGGAGTCATCTTGGACTAGCTCCCATATAATTGCTGATTCTTACATCTTCCCAGTAGCCCATTAGCTACCTCGGATTTGATTTTGACCTACTTCGATAGCTTTTGTGTTTTGAATCTACTTGGATTTCAGCATGAGTCTCATTGGCTCTGCCCAGTGGATTTCTACCCTCTTGCTTTTCCCATCTCATCCTTTCACCTGATCTGTTGTTGGAACCAGATCTTCACCCTCAGTTAGGGTACAACTGCAGTTTATACTACAATTATACACTTATATATGTTATATCTATAAGCAATAAAATTTAAACTCTCATCTTGTCAGGGGCCCTAGATCTGAAATCAAACTAGGTTGATTTTGCATCTCAGTTATGCTGCATGTGTGACTTTGAGTAGATTGAAAGGCTATTCTGAGTATATTTGGCAGACCAAATTGAGCATGATAATATTGAATGCCCTATGGGGTTACAATAAGGACTACGTTACAATGTATATAAAGACTTTATAGTGTCTGGCATATAGTGATTGATAAATATAAATTTTAATTTTTGTTATTGTGTCAATTCTCCTAAAACAGACACTATGAAGGGTGTTCATTTGAAGCCAAATCTTATAGTATATTCTCTCTACTACACATGGGAGGAAGAGCTAACAAGTTGTAAAGCATTACACATTTTAGAAATAGGATGCCATCTATTTAACTGCCCTTGCTGCTTTTGATAACCTTTGCAAACCATTGATGGAGACCAAATCAAAGGCAGAATCCCTGTGCATGGTGGAAGAGCAGCACCTGAGTCAGTCTGGTGCCTGTCCAGGGCTACAGGGCATGGAGAAAGCTTAGCGTTCATGACTCTTTGGTGGGGGGAAAAATCTCGAAACTCATCTTGTGCAAACTCCTCATTTCACCATTGAGAAACTAATCTGGAGAGATTAAATATTGTGCCTTGGGTCACACAGAAGTGTTAAGGCCAGAACACTCGTTCTGTGATACCATGTAAGGCTGGTGACCATTCTTCTCCATCACTGGTTCTCAAATTGTGGTCCTTGATTTAGCAGCATCAGCTTCACCTGGATGAGAACTGACTAGAAATACAATCGGTTTTATCTTAGGGCCTGTTGAATAGGAAATTGTTGGGGTCAGGAACAGGAATCTGTGTTAAAACAAACTCCACGTAATTTTGATGCATAAGCAAATTTGAAAATAATTGCTCTTTGTTGTGTTTGTTTTTATTGCTTTTCCCAACCTATTAATATGTATTTCTGTGTATCAAGATAGAAATGTAAGGAAGCATGGAAATAACAAGCAAAAAGAAGAAAAAATAGAGATCTTTTGGTACTATCCAAGATACACACACAAGTACACACACTTTTTGTTTTCTCACAGAAGACAAGCTACCTATTTATTTTACCATCTTGAGGTCTCAGTACTAGTAGAGCTGCTCTCTTCTGTGATTTATTGCAAAGAAACAAGTACATTCCCAGTTTCAATATTATTGGTTGGATGTAGTAATGACTATTGGCTCTTCCAGGCATGTAAACATAAATACATCAGAGAAGGCAGAAGGTCTATTTGTATGAGAAATATTATTGTTTTGTCCAACTATTTTGCTATTTTTCTCCAAAAATATGACAACATGAAAAAGTAACGCAAAAGTGCCAAGAAATTGATGTTTCATGGCAAAGCCAACAGTCTCCAGAATGCTTAAATCATGTTACATAGAGCTGTCATTTCTTTCTCCCTGAGCATCTGTAGATGGTGCATGAAAGCAGTTGAGTGTAATATAATAATGATTTTTCATGGGTCTTTCTGGATGGATCTTTCTCACTCATCATCAAACTCTATAAAAGTGCCTGGTGATATTTTAGGTCCTGGAGTGTTTTGATTATTTTTTATGGAACTTTATAGCCAAAGCATTGGGTTTCTAACACTTTCACAACAAAATAATAAAATAGTTTGATGATTTTATAAAAAGTTTGAGATGAGCTGGTTTAGGGCATTGATAATCCTTGGAAAACATTGCCTGGCTTCTATAGGAATATCTTTACAATTTGGGGTAAGTGGGCTGCCATTTTGAGGCTTAAATTTGAGTTTCAATCTTAAGGAGGGATTTTGGATGTGGATCATTGATTATGGGAAGAATTACATATGTTTTCAACCTTCTGACCACTTTACACATGATAGTCATTATTCTTGTTCTTTCTCAGGATCTTTATCTTCATCATCCTCAATATCATCACAGCTGACATTTACTGAACATCAGCAATGTGGTAGGTACTGCAGGAAGAGTTTTCATGTGACTACTCATGTAATCCTCAGTGAAACCTTAAAGATGAGTAAGGTCATTGCCCACTTTATAGATGAAGAAACATAAACAGGAGGATAAGGTTAAGTAACCCAGGATAACAGGGCTAGGGAGCACTGCTCAGGATAGAGAAGCTCAAGATGTTTGTCTCCAGGGCACTTCCTTAACTTCTGTATGCTGCTGTTTTTTCATTTCTTTAAACCTGATGTCTCCACTAAATTATGTGTGATTATTTGCTCTATATGAGAAAACAATTCTCAGAAAGAGAAAAAACCTTTCTAAGGACACAGGCCCAGCAAGTAGAAGGCTGGTGTCTGTGGACCATTTGCAATCCCTGCATTGCCTTTCACACTGCCTTGCACACAATTTTGGTGTCTTGTGTTTTTCTGTGTTTTGTCTTTGGCTCCAGTGTGTAATGATTTTCACAACATTTGTCCAAGAACCATATAGTCTTTTGGTTTGTTTGTTTGTTTGTAGGAAAAAATGGTTTTGTACATGAGATGAAACAATATAAATTCAAAACTTACAGATAAATGTTAGCTCTATTACTCAACTCTTTAAAATGTTTATATGAATATCTAGTCAAAACCATAAAGTATTGCCCTTGAAATGTTATCTATACCAATTCCCAAGGAGACCAGAGGACTGTATACTGTCTTAGAATGTCCTCAGAAGGCTGTCATTGATCAGGTAACAGTAAAAACCCAAGAGTCCTTTCTTTCAAATGGAAAAGGAAAGCAGAGGGACAGGAGCTATTCAAACTTTATCTTCTTTCCTTGTGGCTTGTGGTCACCTCCTCCTCCTCTGCCTCCTCGAAAGCTGCCTCGCCCTCCAAAGTCTCCCCGGCCTCTGCTACCAAATCCTACTTGGCCTCCTCTGCCACCACCTCATCCTCCAAAGCCACCTCTGCCTCCACCATGACCCCCAAAGCCACCTTCACCCTTAGATTTGGCACAGTCCAAGGTAACTTTATTTCCATCAATTTCACCATCTTCCATGGCCTCCTTGGCAGCTTTGGCATCCTCCTCACTGTTGAAGTTTACAAAACCGAACCCTTTGGAGGACCCAGTTTCCCAGTCAGTGACTATCCTTGCCAGAACAGAGCCCTCAAATGACTCCTTTAATGTCTCTTCAGTGGTATCCTCAGACAGGCCTTTGACAAACAGAGTTTTGGATGGCTGGCTTCTGGCATTAGGTGATCCCCTTGGTCCTTGCAACTCCAGCCTGATGACTCTGCCCTCAATTTCCCTTTTATTACAGGAATTTAAAGCTTCCTTAGCATCTTCAAATGAAGGAAACTCTATAAATGCATACCATTTAGATTTGCCAGTATGGTTCTGGGGTGCTTTGATAAAAGTTGCTTTCTCAAGTACTTCCGGAAGAGTTTCTTCTGTTGCACTGTAGGAGAGGTTGCTTAAAACCAGAGTTTTTGATTCAACACTACAAGTGCTATTCTTTCCACCTCTGTAGTCTTGATTTTCACCTTTCTCTCCAGTATAATACAGGGAAATAGATCGCCCATTGATCTCCATTCACTGCTTTTCTTCAGAGGTTTTCTCTGCATCAGCTTCTGTCTTAAATTCAATATAAGCAATCTCTTTACTTTTCCCATCCTTGCTGACTAATCTGATCTCTGCAGCAGCATCTTCAAACACTTTTTAAAATTCATCCTGAGTCACTTTGTAAGGGAGATTTTTAGCCAAAAGTGTTCTCGCCTCTTGCTTTTTCTTACTGTCTTTTCCTTTTGGTTTCTCTAGTTTAATTTCATTGCCAAGACTTTCAAACCAGTAAGTTCCAAGGCTTTTTCCAGGTCTTCGGCAGATTCAAAATCCACATAACCAAATTTCTCTGTCATACCAATTCTGACACTCACAACAGCAAGCTTATTTTTAGCAAAATAATCGCTGATACCAGTTTGTAATTCAGGAGCATATTTGCTAAAGTTTGGATTTCCAACAAAAAGATTGAAAGCTGTGGTCGGTTCTGTGCTTTCCACTTTCTGTTTCTTGGCTTCAGGAGCTGCTTTCTGTTTGGTCATTTTCTTCTTTCCTTCTCCAGGTGCTTCTTTGACAGGCTCTTCCTCAACTTCTTCCTCCTCTTCCTTATCATCTTCCTCATCTTCATCTTCATCCTCATCTTCATCATCCTCGTCGTCCTCATCCTCTTCTTCATCTTCATCCTCAGCCACGTTCTTGGCTTTCACAGGAACAGCGTTTGCAGCTCTCTTTCCTTTGGCTGGCATGGTCTCCACAGCTTCCTTTTCAGAGTCGTTGTCTTCATCACCATCATCCTCCTCCTCATCATCATCTTCATCATCCTCATCCTCTGAGGCAGGGGCAGCAACTGCTACTTTCCCCACTGTTGGTTCAAATTCATCCTTATCCTCATCATCCTCCTCACTGTCCTCCTCCTCCTCTTCATCATTGTCTTCCTTCTTGGCATTCTTGCCATTCTTTGCCCCCTTGGCTGGGGTGGCAGCACTCTTCTTACCAGGAGTTGCTACCAATGCTTTGCCTGGTGTGGCTCCCTTCTTGCCAGGTATTGCGACTGCTTTGGCTTGTATAACTATCTTTTTGACAAGTGTTGCTGCTGCCTTTTTGTCTGGAGTGACAGCTGCTTTATTCACTGGTGTGGCAACTGCAACCTTTTTTGTTGAGGAAACTACTACTTTCTTTGGCAGGGTCGCAGCAGCCTTCTGGCCTTTATTCTGAGGTATGACAACCCCTTCTCCACTGCTATCACCTTCTGCATCTTCTGACATTTCCTCATCTTAACTATCTTCTTCTACCTCCGTTGGAGGAGGAGCCATTTTCTTGGGGTCACCTTGATTTTTTCCTGCCTTAGTTTTCTCATGAACGTTATTCCTTTCGTAGCGAGACAACTCCGCCCTTAAAAGAGGCAGCGCAGCCACGTGGGAGTACCTGGTAGGCCACCACGTGCCCAAAACAAGGGGCAAAAAGCACGGGGCAGAGCCACCTCTGGGGCGCACCACTTGTCGGCTTGCCAGGCTGGGGAGGAGACATCCTGAGCGCAGCCGGGCCTCGGACTGCCAATGCCGCCACTTCCCACCCCAAGGCACTGGTCCTTCTGGAGATCCTGGGACCCTTGTGGCTCGGCCCACGTGGCAGGTGGCGCTCCAGGGCATGTGTGTCAGGAGTTGGGTTCCAGCTCCTAAGTGTCGCAAGAGTTTGGTCTCATTTCCCCACCCCAGGGCCCAGCGCCCCCTCCTTGGGCTCAGTGACTCAGAACCATATAGTTTTCTAATGTTCTGGCCTTTTCAAGTGAAGAAATAGAGAATGTACTGAATACTGAGACTTTGCTAAGAAAGAGAATACAAAGTTTCTGATTCCATCAATAATTATTTGGTAGAATGTGTGACTAATGGTCCAGAGGGAACAGAAAGCTCAATTCCAGTTTGACTCCCTGCTGTTTATTTCTGTGTGATGGAAGGTTGGTCATTGAATCAATCTCTGATTGGATTTATACTGTTTGCCAACGGACACAGTATATTACTTTTTTGATATTACTTTTAAAAATAATAAATAAGAAGAGTAAGGATTATCAACTAGTAGAGATTCATGAATATGTTTTAGACAAAATAATGACCTTATAATATTTCACTTCAACCTTCTTTCTGCAGAAAGTGAGATGAATATGACTTGCAGAGGTGTAGTGAGAATTAGTCTATACACCTGTTATAGAGCCCATGATTTGTTACCTAAGAGGACCTCAAAATTGGCAACTACTGTTTGCGATCAGGAACCAATTGCCTCAGAGTATAGGTTGTCTAGTGTCTCTGTCTTGAATACAAAGACTGAGTGTGGGAGAATGATTATACACTTAAATTTAGCTTTCTAGTATTTTACTTTACAAATTATCAAGCCCAGCTAATAATCCAGCTTCCCATTAGCTGGATAACTCTGAGGAAATAGGATTGTGTCCCTTTCTCCCTCAAATGCTGCTGTGAGGTTCAAAGAACTGTGAACTGAGCGTCTTAACCGCCTGTTTTACTCTAGCTGGATTACGTTGCCACCTGGTATAAGAAAAGATGGAAAGCAGGCTTAACTTCCTACCACTGAATAGGCCTCTGCTCTAAGTCAGTCTTTTCCAAAGTGGGGTGTGCACACTTCAGGGTGTGGAAAATTTTTTTCTTGATGTACATATATTATATATATATATTTCTATTTATATCTGTATGTTATGAAATCTTTATATCTTGCATATATTGATACATATATGTGACATAACATTGATATCAATTTGGAAATCTTTTTTCATTATTCTACTATTTGTATATATTCTCCAATGTTATCTTTAACGATTTCATGGTGTTACATTATTTTAACTAGTTATAATTTATAACTAATTTCCTATTTAAAAAAATTGTAAGTAGTAGTCTATCAGGCCACTTAATTTTAGAAAAAAAATTATAATAAATACTTCAAAGTATAATTATCTGCAAGTGTAATTACTGAGTTAAAAGACTGCATAGATTATTTATTTTTTAAAGTTTTATGTACTAATGTAAAAGAAACATGATGACTTGTTTTGTCTGCATTCATCATAGATATTTTTGTACGCATTGGATATGAAAAGTGTCACAAGTTTTGAAACCCTGACGGATTATTCTGGGCAGAACATTTTCTTTTTTGACAGAATTGTTGGCTTCTTGGTCCTGTCTTTCTGCTTCATTGAACAGGAGCGCCTGTTCTGTTTGACTTCATCCATTTTGAACTCTCAAATGGTCACAACCTCTAAGGCAGAGTTACAAAAGGCCATCAATCAGCATAAACTGTTGCTCAGTCCACAGGTCTGATCCTGGGTTTGGAGAGACTGTCACTGGCCATTCATTGGGAGGTAAATTTGTCTTTTATACTGATGTAGCTAGTCCAGAGGAAGCAGGTCATGGTGCACGGTAAGGATTCTAACATTAAGTGCATTTTAAAATGCCTGACACACTTGCATGCAGCTTGAATTTTGAGAGCACCCTGCTTTTTCCTAGAAATGTTGTTCATTAGCTAGCAGGTTAATATCATTCTTGAAGTATTGATTTTCATTGACCATACAACCATCCCTATGAGCCTCCTTGTAGAAAGAAACCATGCAGAGCTTGGATGTTAATTTTGTTGTTGTCTTTAAAAAAATTACAGTATTATCTTTGAGCATTTGAAGGCTGAGCTGGAGAAGCAGCATTAAAATCAATGCCAAAAAAAAAAGAAAAAAAGAATTTCTGGCTAGACCTTATGTTTGGCAATAGTAGAAGCAACTAAACAGCCTTTGTTTTGAATGAGTATAAAGAAAAATAAACAACCCCGTCAAAAAATGGGCAATGTATATGAACAGACACTTCTCAAAAGAAGACATTTATGCAGCCAACAAACATATGAAAAAGTGCTCATCATCACTGGTCATTAGAGAAATGAAAATCAAAACCACATTGAGATACCACTTCATGTCAATTAATCATTAAAAAATCAGGAGACAACAGATGCAGGAGAGAATATGAAGAAATAGGAATGTTTTTACACTGTTGGTGGGAGTGTAAATTAGTTCAAACATTGGGAAAGCTGGCTAGCCATGTGCAGAAAGCAGAAACTGGA